CCAGTATGGCTTCTTCTTAAATAGGTTACATCTGCAAAGACTTTATTTCCAAATAAGTTCGCATTCCAGATTTCAGGTTAAAAAGACAACAGGCAGCCTTATTCACCACAGCCTTCCTTGTTACAGTTTTATACAGACCAGACAAACCGCCCTGGTGCGGAGGGGGTGCCTGCTCCTATTTCCCTGCCCCCCTGCGAGCTCCGTGTGACCCTCTAGCCACCCCACAGAGGATGAGTGCTGCCTGGCTGGCAGTCACAGCCATTGATTCTTTTTTAGACCGAGCAATGTAAAATTAAAATTCTGTAAACTGGAGGAACTCCATCTCTTCCACCCTCTCCCCCTGGAGTTGGGTCAGGTGGGTAATAGCCTGGGTAAGTGAGGGGTAGTCCCGGCTCCGGCCCAGGAAAGCAGGCAGTGTCAGCGGGGCCACCAACACACGAGGCCACACTTTCTGGAGCATTGTCAGCATGAAGGGCCTCTCCATCAGCTCCCACCTGCTCAGAACTGGGGCAAAGAACTGGGCACCATTTCTTTCCCTCAGAAACATCCTAAACGTCCACGAAGAGAAGATAAATCACACAAGTATGGAACCTCCTTATTGTGGAATACTGCGTAGCCACCAGAAACGGTGACAGGCTGATGACAAGAAGACGCATCCGGCAGTCCTGAAGGGCTCATCCACATATGCAGAGAAGGGTCTTCCATCGCCAGCAGGCGCGAAGCTCTGGGATGGAACCAGCAGCCACCTGTGGACTCATCACGCCTGGGCCTTGGAGGCGGGTGAGGCTGGGCTCTGGCCTGAGCGCCAGAAATGTACGTGGTCGTGTGCGACGTCTAACACGTTCTATTTCAGTTGAGGACCTGCGTCCTATTGGGAGGCGAAATGCTGGGAGTGCTGTGTCCGATTCCACTGCGGCCCCTGGACTTGCCTCTGTGCCCCTGGGCCCTCCTCTCTGCCCCAGCCACCTCCACCCAGCCCACCTGGCACTGACGGATCTCTTGCCAGGGGAAGCCACACTCCCCCTCCTGACCAGCTTTTCCTGCCACTTCCTGTTATGGATGAAACGTCTCCCTAGGGGGTGGGCATCTGGGTTTCTGAATCTGGGAGTGGCCCTGAAGGTGTGGGGGCTTCATTGCCCATGGCACAAACTTGGGCCAGTGGGAAGCAGGAGATGGGAGGGAGCAGAGAAAATTCCCACCCTGGCCCCCTCCCTTCATGGCTGCTCTGAGGGGTGGCTAAGAAGGCACATGGGCCCAAACCAGGCTCAGGGAGCTCCAGGTCCTCCCCAGCTCACTTTGTCCCCAGCCCCACCGGTGGCCTGGGATTCTATCTCCCTTATGAAGTGTTCACACGTGATCCACGCCCCAGGCTCTGTTTTCTAGGGCATCCAGGAATATCAGTTACCCTTTGCTACATGACAAAATGCCCCATAACTTAGTGGCTTAAGCAATTTCATTTGCTCATGATTCTGTGGGTTATTCATTCGGGTTGGGCTCAGCTGGGCAGTTCTTCTGCCAGGTCACTTTGCACAAGGTCAGCTGGCAACGGGCCTGGGGTGTGCAGTCCGGATGGTCACTCGTGAGTCTGGCAGCTGGGCCAGTCTCTGGTTGGGGGTTCTAGGAGACTTCAGTGCTCCACGAAGCCCCTCCTCTCCCCTCCCCGCCCTGCCTGTAGCTGGAGGCAGCCTCACCAGGGACATTCAGCCACAACCCCCCAAGTTGCCCCTGGGGGCACCACAGATCCTGCTGGGATGGGACCACGGATGCCCAGGTCTCATCAGAAGGAACGTGAGCTCTGTGCCCTGGCCCTGCTTCTGCCCTTCATGCTCCTGGTGGCAGCTCCTGGGGCCACATGGCACTGACCCTCTGACTGCGTCCCCAACAGAGGCATGTGGTCCCAGAGTTTGCAGGTCCCCTCACTGCATGCTGGGGCTTCGGCACATCAGGACCTAAGTGTCCTATGGACACGGTGATCACAAAATATGAGTGAGCAGGTTCCAGCTTCCCCTGGATGCCATTCCCCAAACACCAAACTCAGACCTAATAGTGTTCATACCCCAAGTTTCAGCTCCCCTACCAGGTCAGCACAGACCCCAAACAGGTGGCTGCATCACCGCCCCATCCTCTAATCCAGGGAGCAGTGACCTCCGTGGCCTGTTGTCCCTGGGACCTCACGGTGCGCATGCCACAGTCTGTCACCATTTCTCTCCCGAACTACAGGGCAAGAACCTTGTTGGGAGAAACACGACAGGGCCTGGAGGCGCTGAGAGGCTGTGCCGGAGTCAGGCAGCCGGGGGGTGGGGTGCGGAGGAGAGCCCGGGGCTGCGGGTGCTGCCCACCGGGGCCAGCGTCTGAAGGGTCTCCCTGCCGGCCCAGCTCCCACACTAGCACTTGACCTTTCACAGAGGAGGCGCAGCAGTTAATACCCCTCCTGTCTCCTTCCAGTGAAATCCATCTTAGGGACGCACCAGGTCCTAAAGGATGTGTCCCTTTCTCTGCAGAGCAAATTTAATGAGATTTCGGAATGTGAACTCTGATTTTTTCGCCCTTTCATCTCATGACTGGTTAATTTTAATTTCAGTGCATAATGCTCCTCGTGAAATTGTACCCTCTACACAGTTTGGGACAAGAAACTAGAATTCTCTTCATGTAATAGCTATTTGAGACCTAGTCCTATAAATGGCTCGCAGGATGTGCTTGCTAATTTTAAAATTCCACTCATGGTGAAGTAAAATTAACAGGAACCTAGCAAAGGCCCAATCCCATCTCTCCTCAAACATCCCCTGGGTTCACCTGTGGAGAAGTTACCTGTCATAGCTGACAGGCCCTTGAACACAGGTGTAGGTAGCATGCACACTCACAGGTGAACCTCCCAGGTGTCACAAGTATACCACACAGGTGTGCCTCACAGGTGTTTCACAGGTGTACCTCCCAGGTGTACCACACAGGTGTATCTCAGAACAAAATTCAGACATACCTCACAGGCACATCTAAAAGGGGTATCTCATAGGTATAACCCACTGCCCCACTTCGCAGGTACTTGTAAGTGCACCTCACAGGTGCATCTCTCTAACTGTGCCAAGAGTCCACCCCCTTGGGGCCACTCAGGGGCCCCAGTGGGTGAACCGGGGAATGAGATGATGGGAGGAGCTGACACAGAAGGTGTTGCTGAGCAGTCTCCCCAACCCCACAGAGGAGGTAGTTGGGGCATTTACACGCCACCCCACTAGCCGAGGCTCCTCCAGGGTGGTTGGTGATTCCTGGCCAAGCACTGCAGGCTCCGGGGAGGAGAGACCCACACAGGGAGGGAGCAGGTGCGCAGGGCCTGTGCTGTGGGCGGGCTGCAGGGCTACCCCTCACTCTGGGCACCCTCAGCTCCGGCCATCACCTGTGCTAGCGCCCCACCTCCTCTGCTGCCCACCCACTGCACCAGCCCCTGAGCGCAGTGGCCTCTGAGCCCACGGCCCTGCCACCCCCACCACTGAGACCTCCTGCAGCTTCCAGAGTGGGTGTGTGCCTCGCTCGAGGCCCTCACCTGCCCTATTTCCTCAGCCCTAGTGCGGGGGTCACTGGCAGGAGTGGGGAGCAGAGGCAGGGACATGGGCCCCAGTGGAGTGAGCTTGAGGAGTATTCCCCACGGGCCCCTCCCCTAGGCCTCCAGGCCAGATGGCTGCCTCATCCGCAGCCCCATAGCACAAGGCCTCATTCGGACTCAGCTGGGCATCTGGAGACAATGCTCTGGAAGCTGTCTGGGCTGAATTCAGAGCAGCATGACCCGCAGCACTGGCCCCAAATCCTACCCCCCACCCCACGCGCATCCCATTCTCCCTGGCCCCCCTTCAGAACTCACTATTTTTAGGAAAAGTGGGAAACCTCACTGGGGGCAGATGCCTGCGCCCAGCCAGCTGGGCCTGTTGTGGCCGGCACTGCATCAGGGTGCCTCCCCAGAGCCATGCAGAAGGGCCCTGAACACCAGACTCGTGCTGAGAAACTCGCCTGAGCACAGAGGCAGTTCACTTCATGTGTGCACACACATGCATGCTCATGCACAGGTGCGCACACATTTTTGCCCATGTCCTGGGTAAAAGTAAAGTGACAACATAGACACAGGCAACATGGGGGCAGGGAGGAGACACAGAGACCTAGGGTGTCCCCTGGGCCTGCGGTTCCCGGTCCTTGGCTCGGAGGGGCCCCCGGTCCTTCTGACTATGTTCTGCCCCCACCTCTGGCAGGGCCACCAGCACCGCAGCCTGGCTGTGGCTTCAGAAGGTGCAGCCAGGAGCCCAGCCAGCCTCTGCTGAGCAGTGTGCCTGGTAGGTAGGAACTAGGCCAAGGAGAGAGATGCCAGGCGGAGGTCCACCGAGGAACCTCTGAGGGCACAAGCTCTTAGCAGAAATGCATCTGTGCCCTTGTGCAAGCCCCACCTCTGGTCCCACTTCTATGCTGGGGGCTGGGCCACCTTGCTCATGTCTCCCCACTTCCCTCCATGGGGATGGGGCCAAGAAGCTGTACCCAGTGACCTCCAACACACTAGGGGATACCCCCTCCCTGCCCAGGGCTGGGTTGCATCTCTTCCCCGGCACACCTGAGCCCTGGTCCGGGTACCAGAAGATCTGGGGCTAATGTTAAACCATTCCAAATCTTTGGGCAGCCCCCAAAGCAGAAAGGGTCATGGCGTTTGTGGGATTACCACCTCCAGGGGGCTGGGTGTGAAGGCCTGACCCACTGGAAGCCAAGTGCCTGCCCCCAGCCGCCCAGGACCCCTGCCATGGGCAGGAGCCCCCCAGCTGTTACCCAGCTGCCCCATTCCAGGCGGTGCACTTCTCCAGCATTGGGAAGTCCAGGATCTAAGGCAAGGGAGGGCAGGCATGGGTGAGTCACCTGGCATCCTTCCAGGACTTGGTAATCGTCACTAAGAAAGGCTTTGCTGATGACAGTGTTTTCTGGGAGCCGGGTGTGCCTGCAGACACACAGCTTCCTTCTCAAGACAGGCAGGGGGACACCATGAGCCTCAGCGAGGGGCAGGTGCACAAGTTCCTGGAAGAGAACCCCAGCTTTGCAGACTGGTACTTTGGGAAGAAGCTGAGCCCCGAGAATGTGGCCAGCGCCTGTGAGGAGAGGCCCCCTGTGGACTGCACCAGCTTCCGTGAGCTGTGCCAGGTGGAGGAGAGCATGGCGCTGTTTGAGCTGGTGCAGGACATGCAGGAGAGTGTGAACATGGAGCGGGTGGTCTTCAAGATACTGCGGCGCCTCTGCACCATCGTGCGTGCTGACCGCTGCAGCCTCTTCATGTACCGCCAGCGCAACGGCGTGGCTGAGCTGGCCACACGCCTCTTCAGCGTGCAGCCCGGCACTGTCCTGGAGGACTGCCTGGTGCCTCCCGACCATGAGATCGTCTTCCCCCTGGACATTGGGGTTGTGGGCCACGTGGCTCAGACCAAGAAAATGGCCAATGTCCGGGATGTGACCGAGGTGGGTGAGGACCCCACGGGCGCCATGGGGCAGGCCATCCCCAGGGTCTGTGAGGACACCCAGCCTTCAGGAAGGAGGCCCAGGGCCGGCCAGGGTGCACAGGAGAGAGCCCTGAGGTGCCTGGGAGGGTGGCCTGGGCAGGACCTATGGGTCCCTGAATGGAGGACAGACAGGAAGAGGTCAAAGGCCCAAATGGAGGAGCCAATGGAGCTGAGCGTCAACCTTGCAACCCCATTGGAGACCATGATGCTGGCCGGGGTGGGCAAGCTAGGGTGTTCAGGGAGCGGGGGCTGGCGGGGCAGGGCGGCAGGGCAGGCAGTGTGTGGAGCCGAGATTCAGGAGGAGAGAAGGGGCCGGGAGCGCAGCGGCCCTGCTGGGCGTGGGGCCCGCACAGGAGCGTCCCCCCCGCCCCCCAAAGACCAGTGGAGAACAGGACACGGGTTTTGGGGAAGGTGAGGTCGGCCTGGGAGGCACTGAGTTTGAGGTGCCTGGTGAACGTGTGTGAGGGTGGGGTCTCCCACAGCGATGCCCAAACGAGGGGCTCCCAAGAAAAGGAGCCACAGCCCGTTGCAGGAGGGGGTGACGGCCAGCAGCCTGCCTGAGGCCGGAGCCCCTTCTGCTTCCCATGCAGGAATCTGGGCGGGCCGCCCCCGGCACAACCACGGCCCCCCATCCTGGAGACACAGGCCCCCGTGTGCAGACCCCTGGGGGCCCTGGCCCCTGGGGAGGAAGCTGCAAGGCCGCAATCCTCTTAAACGCACCTGCCCCAAACAAGCCTCAGTCCCCCGGCCTGAATACAGTAAATCTCTGGGATTAGCTTCGTCTTTGCTTCCTTTGTAAGAAGTGGGTCGCCCGTGAACCGGAATACCAGGAGCGTGAATTACCGGGAAGAGAAGAAGCCCGGCAGTTGCGGGCTGCACCGCGCACCTCCCCCGCCCTGTCCCTTCCTGGCCCCTCCCCACGCCTCGCTGTCACCTGACTCGACCTGTGCCTTGCTGAGGGTCTGCACGGCTGTCCTGGGCCCCCCGCAGGGCGGTCCCTCCCTGGCCTGGGCTTCTCCCTTCCGGCCGCCCTCAGGATGGCCTCCTCCGGTGTCTCCCCCGTTGCCCAGCACCGCTGGACACCTCCTCGGTGGGCCAGGGACATGGCACCAGCCCCCAGCCTCAGGGCGGCCCCAGGCCTTGTTCATCTCAGACACAGTGGGACAGAGACCAGAGTCAGAACCAGCCAAGAGGCGAGTCCCCGTCAAGTCCCCAGGAAGCCCTAACATTGCCAGGAGCCAGGCTCCCAGGCTCACGCCTCGCTTTGCAGAGGGGACGTCAAGGCAGACAGAGCTCATTCCTCCTGGAGGACCGAGCAGCGAGGGCCTGCAGGGCAGAGAATCCTTGCACGTGGAGATGTGCACGACCACGACGCTGCCCCACTGAGGCCCCCAAAGCTCAGAGGGTGCCCACCCAGGCCACCAGGCAGAAGGCCCTGGCAGGCAGGGAGGGGATGTGGCTCAGCCACAGCCACGATTTGCTGGGCAGCACAGACCCGGGTCCTGGCTCTTTGGTGGTCTCTGCCCTCCCCACTCAAAGAACTGTGGGCCCTGAAACACCTCATCGTAAGGGTCCTGCATTGCCCAGGAATCATAGCAGCCCTTTGTGGGGTTGGAGGGAGCAGAGCTGGCATCAGGGCATGGCTGTGCAGGGGAGTTCTGGGGTCCAAGGGGCCTCAGACCAGGGAGAGGGCCCAAGGCTGGCAGCCACATGGAGCACAGATGGGCCAGAAGACAGGCGGAGACCCAGGCCTAGGGTGAGAGACCATGTGGGCACCTTGGAGGAGCCACCGGGCTTGGAGACCCAGTGGGGTGCCAGAGCGACACAAGGGTCTCCCTCGTGAGTGGTGGGTGCAAATCCCAGAAACAGGGGCACAGAGGCAGGGTGCGTGGGAAGGGGATGCCGGGTGCAGCAGGCCTGAGGCTGCTCCCACCCCAGCGCCTAAGGCTGTCAGAGCCTCCGAGGCTCCAGGCGAAAGCTCCTCGGGAGACAGCAGAGCAGAGGCTGTGCGGGAGGCAGGGGCAGGGCATGGGGACGAGGAATGCAGTGCCGCCCACAGCTCAGAGGACCCTCAGGGCTTGTGGCTGGTCCTGAGGCACAGGGGATCCCTGGGCTCCAGCTGGGGGTCACCCGTCCTTCAGCCAACACTCACCTTTTGGGGAGGAGCATACGGACACTGGTCGAAGGGCAGCTGAAGTCCAGTATCCTGGACTAGGGGCCCAGGTAGTGGCAGTTGTGGGACAACCCAAGTTGTCCACCACCTGGGGGGCTGCTGGGCAGGGAGGAGCCTGTGAGAACGCAGCAGAGACTGCGGGTTGAGAGCAGGGGTTGCCAGCTCCTAAGTGGGTGGGGGGAACTGAGCCAGGCTGGAGCCCTGAGGCAGGCCACTGGCTGCCTGGCTCCAGATGCCTGGGGCAGGGCCACCTGGTGCCAGCACTGGTCTGGGTGGTGGCCTTTGTAGAGCTCAGGGCCAACAGGGTGGGGTGTCAGGGCTCAAGGCCTCCTTCCCCCTTGCCCTCAGTGCCCCCACTTCAGCGCCTTTGCCGATGAGCTGACTGCCTACGAAACAAGGAATATCCTGGCCACTCCGGTTATGAACGGCAAGGACGTTGTGGCTGTGATCATGGCTGTGAACAAGCTCGACGGCCCATATTTCACAAGTGAAGATGAAGATGTGAGTGCCGGGGAGCCCCTGGCGTGCCCCTGTGTGCATGCGGGCCACCTCTGTCCCTCCGTCCTCCCAGGCCCTGTGGGGGGCATGTCTGCTGTTGTCCGTGTATCTTTCCTCGGCTCAGCTCTGCAAGCTCGTCTCCATGTCTGTTTCTTCTCTGCTTCCCCTGTGTACCTTCACGCACATGTGTCTGTGTGTGCAAGTCGCAGGCCCGCACATGTTGTGATCTGTCCTGCTGGGGGGCCTTCCTCCCGCTGCTGGACACCTTTCCCAAAAGTGCGACCTGGGCACGCTTCTGAAAGGATTTTAACTCCTGATGTCACAACTCCTGTTGCAGGTTTTCTTGAAGTACCTGAATTTTGGCACATTAAACCTGAAGATCTACCACTTAAGCTACCTCCACAACTGTGAGACGCGCCGAGGCCAGGTACGGCCACGCAGCCCTCTGAGAGCGCAGGGTGGAACTCATCTCCAGCTGGGTGCGTCCAGCACCCCCTGCCCTGGTCTCTCTGGACAAAGATGGGTGGTGGCCCAGGGCTGGCGGCTCCAGGGAGGAGGTCCGCGGCCTTCATGGTCTGGGGTGTGACGCCATGAGTGAGCAGACCTGCAGGCAGGGAGGCAGCAAGGAGCTGTCCTGCCGCACGGGCCAGTCCCCCTGGGGGTGGAGCCTGGGCCTGTCACTCTCTGCCCCTCCTGGTGGTCACGTGGTTGTGAGCACCTCTGTCCCCCACCCCCAACCCCCTTTGGAAGGAGCTGGAGTCAGTTACAAAATGGACAGTGGGCCAAAGGGTCCCACTGCTCAAAGGCCGGCCCCTGGTAGGGCTTCCAGGCCTGGAATCTGCCAGGGGGGCGGTGTGAGAACCTGACGGGAGCACGGGAGTGGTTGCTGTGGGAACGTGCGCAGAGCTGGTGGGGCACCTGGGGATGAGAAGCCTCTGCCTCGAGTGCCCAGGCCCAGGAGCCCTGCGTGAGTGGCGAGGGCACTGAGAGGGTGCGCAGAAGGGCAGCTGCCATCACTCTGGGCCTGGGGCTAGGGAAACTGTGCAAGACACGGCCTTTGGGGTGAGCCTCAAAGAATACTGAGGGTGACCTAGTCACCTCACACCATCCCCACTTTCTGTTCTGTCAGCAATGCTGTCTGCATCTGGTCACCCTCTGTAAAGCTGCTGAAAGTGACAAAGGGTCCTGTGCTTATCTGGCATCCAGAGAGAGGGCCTGAGCTTGGGGGCCCCTTCCTGAGCCCTGGGCTGCATGAGGGTGGCCTGGTCAGGCAGGCCAGGGGCTGCCCCAGGCCAGCCCCACTGACAGGCGGCTGTGATCAGCCATCCAGGAAGGACGCTCGCCAGCAGCCAGGGCCTTGGGCGACTGAGGCCACAGCCCAGGGCTGGGAGGGGAGGGCCAGCCCTCCTGTGCTGGTGGTGTGAGCCAGGCAGAAGGGCTGTGGGAGGACCCCAGGGGAGAAGCAAGAGGGTGCCCCACGCGGAGGGAAGGCATGGCCAGGGCTGAGGCCGGAGGACCCACTCATCCCCAGCAGGGCTGCCCCAGGAGGGTGGCAGGCCCCCACCTGCGTGTGGAGAGGCCTTGTGGGAGGAGGGTGCTGTGAACCCCTCACTGCAGGACTGGGGTTCACACGGAGCTTGGTCTCCTCCCACCCATTTGTCAGTCTATGTGGTCGTTGATTTCTATCAGCCTGGACTCGTGTGTCTGCACTTTAGGCTGTGACCCAGGGAGAGCCCAGCCTGTGGCCACTGGGAGTCCTGGAGACCCGCCCTTTGACATGCCCGATCAGCCTGGATTGTTCTCATGGGCAGGCGGGTGGGCTTTGGCTCTTGGACTGTGTGCATGTCTTCTCTTCCTGGCACTGCAGGGTGCTGCAGGCTCACTTGGCGTGTTCTGTTTGGTCCAGAACCAGCCACCCCTCAAGGAGCCCTGGTTCCTTCTCCAGGAGAATGGTCTTAGGAACAAAGGTCTGGGTGCTAGGGTGCTCCTTGCTACTGGGGCATCCGTCATAGTTTCTAGGCCTCTCGGTCAGCAGGGCAAGGAGAAATGTGTGCATACTAGCCTGTGCATACTCACATCTGTAAATATTTCTACACCTGCATCTACCCTGTGTTGAACATGAGATCTTGCTCATGTCTCCACCTCCAGTCAGTCCATCATGCACCCATCATTCTGGCCCAGCCCCTCACTGGGATGCAAATTTCCTCCCCAACAGTGGGACCCCTGGCTCCTATCACCCCATGTCTGCTTACTTAATCTTTCAGTCCCAGCATATGTGTGCAGCAGCGTCAGAGCTGCTGACCTGCCTCCCCAGGGAGGGATCTCACCCACCAGAGAGCAGTGCAGCTTCTCTGACCTCTGGTCCCACAGACTCATCCCCAGAAATGCTTGGTCAGTGAGTTTGTGATAGGGTTTCGTGCATATCAGTAGAGTTAGATTATCTTCTCATGGTCTGTGTGTTCTTGGAATCCCCCAACCTACTAAATGATTACTTTATTTGCATACATTATGGTTCATTCTTTATGCTGTAAATTTCTATACCTCTTGACATCATGACATGTGTCCACCATCATGCCTTAAAAATCCCTTGCTCCACCTTCTATCACTCCCATCCTGCACCACCAAACCCCTGAGGACCCCTGACCTGTTCACTGTCTCCACAGTCCTGCTTTTCCAGGTGTCATGCACTTGGAATCACAGTGTATGGCCTCTTTCCCTTAGAGTTAGGCATTGAAGGCTATCCAGGGCTTTTCATGGCTTGATAGCTCATTTCTTTTTTAGTGCTAAATAATATTCCATTGTCTGTTTATATCAGAGTTTATTTATCCGTTTACCTACTGAAGGACAGTTGATTACCTTCAGTTTGGGACAATTATGATAAAATTGCCTTAAACATTTGTGTGCAACTTTTTGTGTGGACATAAGTTGTCGATTCACTTGAAAAAATGTCAAGCAGTAGGATTGCTGGATAATATGTTATGATTATATTTACATGAAGAACTGACTAAAGTGGCTGTGCCATTTTGCATTCCCATAAACAACAAATGACAATCTCCTTTGCCCTACATCCATCTGTTTTCGGTATTGCCACGTATTTGCATTTTAGTCATTCTGATAGGTGCATCTCTTGTTTCAGTTTACAAGACAAATGATGTTAAACATCTTTTCACACACTTGCTTGCCATCTACATATTTTATTGTTCGGTGAGGTAGTCTGTTCAGATCTCCTGCCCGTTTTTCAATTAGATTGTCTGTTTTCTTATTGTTTAGTTCTAAGAGTATTTTATGAATTTTGAATATAAATCCCTTATCAGTTGTGTGTTTTGCAAATATTTTCTCCAGGGTGTAGCTTGTTTTTCATTCTGTAAAACAGTGCATTTGGAAAATAGAAGTTTTAAATTGAATAAAGTCCAACTTATCAATTTTCCTTCATGGACTGTAGCTGGGCACTGTACCTTAAAGCTCAACACAAAACTCAAGGTCACCTAGATTTTCTCCTGTGTCATCTGCTAGAAGTTTCCCAGTTTTACATTTTACACATAGCTCTGTGAAATAATTTTTGTGACAGGTGTTAGGTCTTTCTATTGTATATGGATGTCAAATTATTCCAACAGCATCTAGTGAAAAAAACTACTCTTTTCCCATTGAATTGCCTTTGTTCCTTGATCAAACTGTGGTTGACTATATTTATGTGTGTCTGTGTCCTGTTCCATCGAGCTATGTGTCTATTTTTCTCACCAACACCACACTGCCTTGGTCACCAGGGCTTTAGTCTGGAAGTCCTCTGACATTTTTTTTAACATTCTCCTTGATCTGCTTTGAGGTGTTTCTTTTGCCTTTTCATATAAACTTTAAAATAAGTTTGTCCATATCCACAAAATAGCTTACTGATATTTTAATTTGGATGGCACTAAATCTATACATCAAGTTGTACATATAATTGAGATCTTTACAATAGCGGGTTTTCTAATTCCTGAATAGGGAATATTTCTCCATTTATTCAGATCTTTGATTTCTTCAGTTTTATAGTTTTTTCATATAGATCCTGTACATATTTTGTTAATTTATACTGAGGTATTTAAGTTTTTATGCTAAGGTAAGTGGTAATGCATTCTTACCTTCAAGCTCTGATTGTTCATTGCTGGTATAAAGGAAAGCAACTGACTTTTGTATGTTAACCTTGTATCCTGTGACCTTAAGACAATCACTTATTAGTTCCATCAGGTTTTTTAAAATTGATTTCTTGGTTACATAGATGATAATGTCATCTGCACACAAAGATAGTTTTATTCCTTCCTTCCTGATCTATATACATTGTGTTTCCTTTTCTTGTCTTATTGCACTTGCTACGACTTCTACTACAATGTTGAATATGAGCAGTGGAGAGCAGACATTCTTGCCTTGTTCCCAGTATTAGGGGTAAATATTCAGTTTCTCACCATTAAGTATGACATTTGCTGTAGGATTTCTGTAGAATTTTTATCTAGTTGAGGAAATTCCTCTCTATTTCTACTTTGCTTAGACTTTTAATTCTAAATGAGTGCTGGACTTTGTCACATACTTTTTCTCCATCAATGATATGATCGTATTTTTTTTTTCTTCAGCCTGTTAATGTACTGGATTATAATAACTGATTTTCAAGTGGGATAAATTCCACTTGATCATGGAGTATAATATTTATATATATATACATTGGATTGGTTTTATTATATTTTGTTAAGAAGTTTTGCATCTATGTTCATGGGAGATTTTGGTCTGTTTTTATTTCTTATAATGTCTTAATCTGGTTGTGGTATTAGGATAACACTGTTCTCATAGAATGTATTAAAAAGTATTTCCTCTGTCTCTATTTTATACAAGAGATTGCAGTGAATTGGCAGAATTTCTTCCCTAAATGTTTGGTATGATTCACCAGTGAATCCGTCAGGGACTGGTGCTTTCTTTTTGTAAGTTTATTAATTATTGATCTAATGTCTTTAATACCTATAGATCTGTTCAGATTATTCTAATTCTCCTTGTGTGAATGTTGATAGTTTGTGTCTCTCAAGGCATTGAAAATTTCATTTCATCTAAGCTATGTTATCTAAGTTAACAAATTTTAGGGCATAGAATTGCTCTTAATATTTACTATTTATTTATCGTTTCTTTTTTCTGCTAGTTCTAGGTTTAAACTCATATTTTTCTAGTTTCCTGAGATTAGATTATTATGGATGTCTCTTCTTGAAGAGAAAGGAAATGCTATAAATTTCCCTCCAGGTACTGTTTTCACTGCATCTCACAAATTTTGATAAGTTGTTTTTTTCATTTTCATTTAGTTCAAAATCTTTATAAATTTCTCCTGAGACTTCTTCTTTGACCCATGAATCATTTAGAAGTGTGTTGTTTAATCTGTTCTAGTTTAATTCCACTATGGTATGACAATATATA